TACCCTCATCGGACTGGGTGCCATGCGTATATTGTGCTTCATATATTTGTAACCCAGCGTCAGTGGATGTGCGGGTGGTGTAATGGATAGCAGGTTGGGATGAGAACTGGGAAAGTTCGAACTCCAATTTTTTCCAAATTTAGTTCGGACAATTGAATCACTTCTTGATCCAGTTGTTTTTTAATGGACGCCATTTTTTTTTCCTGAGAACATTTTTTATTTTCGGATAGAATTCTTTTCTTTTATTTTCTTTTGGATAAAAGCTGAAAGAGAGATCAATTTTCAGGGAGACGAAATGCATTCCTTGGTTACGCAAATTCTACCCTTCACGGCTGGAACCCGTCAAGACATTCACATTGTAACAAATCACCCTCCTTCCTTCCGTATTCCATCGAACCCCTGCTCTGGGGAACCAAATGCAAAGAGGATTTTATACGATCACTACAATCTTAACTTGTTCAAATCTTGGATTAACCGTTATCTTCTCCCGTTATCCGCATAAACTGCCTCTTACTCTGTAATCCTCTACCTCGAGTGGCCACCGTGCCTTGTTACAGGGTGAACCTCACTATGAATTAAAAAAAAAAAAGCGGAGGTGTTCAGTAGTCTGAACAAATTGTCAATTGATGTTGGGTTTTCTTAATAGATTAATTTTTTTCGGTTTATCAACCCTTTGCAGGTTAGTTAAAGATGAAACATATTTTGGATCGTAAGAATTTTTTTTTGCTAGTGTATATTGAATAAACTTTTAGTTTTTGCCAGAATAGCGATCAGATACAAGTAATACTATTTATCCCATAGATGGGGGGAAGAGATGGATTCATAACTTTTCCAAGGGTAGTTGCGCGTAAGTGAACGTAACGAACGCGACTAGTAATCTAATTGATGCGAGAGAAGAATTGTCTAGCACGACACAGTGAACCAACTTTCTTAGCAGCTGACCTAGCAATAGATTCAATATAGTCTTTCCACTTCATGTCATACGAGAACGTTAGCCTGCAAAGGCGTAACGAGTCACTCTTCTGGTGGTTAGCATCAGCCATAATGATGAAAGTCAGAAAGTTGTCTTTCAGATGATTTATAGAGAACAGTTTCGTTTTTCGGTTGTTCTGAATGCCCGTCATTGTTTTTACTTTTAAAGGGTCATACTTTTTTTTTTATAACTGATATTTCTGCCACAATTACGATTGTGGAGATTTTTATTACAAACAGATTTTTTTTTTAATCAAGTTTACCCTAACCAAGGCAATAAAGCCACTAAGACACAAAGGATTACTGGGTGTGAAAGAATTAGAAAGCAGAAACATTACGAAGAAACGGATACAGAAGAAGAGTAATCAGAAGGAGATTAGATAGCGATTGACACTGCATTTAAAATACGGTTATATCGAACCAGTTCAACTGTATATCGATGAGACCTCGTCGCAAGTCTGATAGTGCTTTTATATTCATAACGTTACCATAGCGAAGAACTCACCTGAACAATTACCATGAAAGTATTTATAGAAAAAGAGACAAGGAGCCAACTTTACGGCAGTGAAAAAGTGACTGAAACTGAGATGCAAGGTCAGGACCAATAATATTGCTGATGCTTCTTTAGATCAAGGATCTCTAGATCTCAGGAGCGCTGGAGCTTATGTGGCAGCAATATTCTAAGCATGGACGTATGATAGACTTATAGATATGAGAGATAAATTCTGGAGCGAAGAATTGTCTAGCACGATACAGTGAACCAATTTTCTTAGCAGTTGACTTAAAAATGGATTCAATAAAGTGTTTAAATTTCATGTCAAACGAGAACGTTAGCCCGAAAAGGCGAAACGAGTTACTCTCCTTAAGGTTAGCATCAGTCATGTTGATGGAAGGCAGAAAGTTGTCTCTCAGATGATTAATATAGAGTAGTTTAGTTTTTGGAACGTTACAATTAAGGCGCAATCATTTGCCCTAGATAACAGCTGCTAATTAGCCCTTATCGAGCTGATCGGACTTACTATCGAGACAGAAGTAAATGGCTGTGTCATCAGCATAGATAGTTACGTACCATGCGTCTCAGTTATGTGACATGCGTGATACACGCTTTGACGATCATGTATCTTTCGATACATGACTGACGAGGCAGATTTTTTTCCCGGAGTAGGTTGCCATTTCTTTCTGCGGTAGGCCAGTTACCATCCAAGGCTATAGAACCCGGTGTATCCTGCTACTTAACTATAGCTGGAGGGGAAGAGAAGCGGATTCATACTTTTCCCAATGATATTAGCACGTAAGTGAATTTCAGTTAGTTATATGCCATGCGTGATACACGCTTAGGCGATCATGTATCGAAAGATACATGACTGACGAGGCAGATTTGTTTTCCAGCAGTAGGTTACCATTTCTTTCTGCGGTAGACCAGTTACCATCCAAGGCTATAGAACCCAGTCCGTCCTGCTATTTACTCATAGCTAGAAGGAGAAGAAGAGGATTCATACCTTTCCCAAGAGTATTAGTACGTAAGTGAATGTAATGGATTCGACCTCAATTCCTGCTGCTATCCACTACTTCACCGTGTCTCTAGCATAGATAACAAGTTGAAATTCGTTTTGTAAAGAGTTTATATTTATTGTAAATAATCATTTGGAACAGATTTTTAAATGTTGTCATTCTTTTTATTCGTTAGGCCTAGAAAAAGCGTACATGTGGGGTTAGTTAGGAATTCGTAGAGTAATTGTCGTATTATGGTGACTGTTGTATGACTGGTAAGTGTTACCTGTGAAGTTTTGGCAACCGAAATAATATTCGTGCGATTTGATCAATGATTGTGATCAGGTTAAAAGATAGCTCAAGTGAAGGCCAGCGCCACTCACATCCCCATTTTCGACTTTGCGCCATATTTAGTGTATTTTTACAATAATAAATATTTAGACTTTATATCTGTTGGAAGGAGGAATAATGACTTTCTAGTCACGAAACTGTGAAGAATGCTTATTTAACATCAAGCAATTTGGTTAAGCGTGCATGCTGCTTTTCATTGCTGCTAATTTTAAAAATCAAGCGTGATTTATAGGGTGTGAAAGAAGAAGAAGAGGAAAACGAAGAAGGAGGACGAGGAGGAGGAGAAAAAGAAGAAGAAGAAGAAGAAGAAGAAGGAGGAGGAGGAGGAGGAGGAGAAGAAGAAGAAGAAGAAGAAGAAGAAGAAGAAGATCAACACAGATTGATATGGAATGAAAGAATAATAATAAGCTCAACCGAGATTGAAAAAAAGAAGAAAATCTGCCGACATTGATATGGAATTTAAAAAGAAAAAAAAAGAAAAAAAGAGGAGGCGGCAACGACAGCGGCTTTACATTGCACGAATAAGTTTCCCACCAATAAGAAAGATATTCGCTTCTAAGATTTCACATGACAAATAAACCATAGAGAAATCTTTTGGTGGGCCCCTTGTACATCTGATAAGAAAAGCATTTAGCATAATTTTTTTTTTTGCTATATCTAAAACAGATTTATTCTTTAGTAATACACAAAACTGTGGCACTCTCTATAAGCCCTAAACGGAAAAAAGAGGGTGTAATAATTTCATTCATTTATAGAGGGAGATACTCTTTGAAGGCACATGAAGAGGGGTGTGATTCCGTGACTAGATTAAATGGATTGATAATCTCTGCTGGTCGATAATCCTGAGTATTCTGTAATTTGTAAAAGAAGCAAGACTCTTTGATCAGCATTAAAACGAAGATCGTGACAAAATATAATTTCTTACCAAACTCGAAACGTTGAATGAATAGGAAATATTTCAGTGTTTTTTTTTAAAATAAAGTTTTCAAATTATGTTAAAGACAATGTTTGAGGAGAAACCAATAAAGTCTAGATGTTACTTCCTTGTTAATGTTTCTTGAGCAGTGTTTTTTTTTCTTTAATTGCTTAATGATCCCTTTCATATCCTTTTGAAGTGAATGTGAAACATTACGAATTTTGGCGTTACTTGAAAATGTTGACATTTTTTTAAAAATTAATGTCCAAACCAGACTTTGATTTACAAGATAATTTTTCAAAAATATAAATGTCATTGTCTTTATATTTGTATATGAAATAAATTAAATTAAAAAAAATGCTGAACCACACCATTATTTCTACTTATTTCATTACAGCGCCCATCTATCTATCTATCTATCTATCTATCTATCTATCTATCTATCTATCTGTTTGTTCAGATCTCTCTCTATATATCTGTTTGTTCAGATTTACCTATCTATTTGTTCATATCTATTTATATATCTGTTCAGATCTATCTATCTATCTATCTATCTATCTATCTATCTATCTATCTATCTATTTGAGCATTTTCATATCTATGAGGATCGGATGAAAAGTTCATAAGTTGACCATAATACGCTCAAGTTATGTGACCAAATGAGGTTTATTTTTCAACATACTCCCTTGTGAGGTCAACACATTTCATCAATCAATATTGCAATCTTTGCATCCTATTGTTTAAGAAGCTTTCATTTTGTTGGATAAAACAATGTCATCAACAGCAGATATTACCTATATCATAGATGCAACACTAGTACGCAGCTAAGAATCTTTCATGTTGGGGAACAGATGATAGTTAGCGGAGGCCAAATCAAGAGAACAGGGAGGCTGATCAACCAGTTCAAAGTCACAGTGACGAACAGACAACAGCTATTTAACCCAAGGACTTGTCTACTGGAGCATTGTTCTGATATGAAACAAAACATCTTTTGTCACTTTTCCTGCGTGTTTGGTCATGATAGCCTTTCGTAACTGCCTCAGAAAGTTAGCATAGTACTTTCTGTTGATGGTGGGGCCATGTCGCAACTTACCACAATAGTGAGTTTATTAACATATTGAATCAGTACACAGAAATCATACAATCATTTAATCATACTGATTCAGAAAAGCATCAGACCCATTAGCACATCAGGAGAAGCTGACATCCCGCAAGTTCTCACCACGATGATTGTTACCGCACAAATAAGACTACATGAAGATTCCAGAAAATGTTGAACGAAGGCACCATCCGTCGATCAGACAGCCCATACACCTCACCGCTACACCTGGCCCCGAAACCCGAAATCACGGTTTTCGAGTATGCGTCGACTACAGGAAACTCAATTCCTAAATCATCCCTGATCGATACCCAGTGCCTCATATGCAAGACTTTTCGTCAGGACAGCAGCATATTCTCGAAGATCGACCAAACAAAGACATACCACCAAATCCACGTGGTTACTGACGACATTCCCAAAACAGCGGTTACCAGCGATTCTAAAAGACTGTGTTACAACTTTTGGAACACCACAAATAATTATGAACGAATGCGGAGCACAATTTCTATCATTCCTATTTCGTGAATTCAACAATTTACTTTGCTCTAAGCAGTTCAAAATGACGGCTTATTACCTTCGCGCAAACGTTCTGGTCGAAAGATTTCACAGATTCTAAAAGCTTCTCTAGCTACGAAAACTGACGCCACTAACTGGATTAAAGACTTATCAATAACCCTCCTCTCTATAAAGAAGATAGTTAAGGAAGGTTAAGTTTTTGGTGTACCTCAATCGTTATCAATATTCCTGTGACACATCAAATACAATTTCAACACTATCTATCCCCTTTATACAAGAACTACACAATTAAATAGTACGGTTGAAATAAACACCAACCCGTCGCATCATAAAGGACGTTTACATTCTTTTTAAGCATTACGCCCCGAGCAAGGCGTGAAGCCACGAGGATGCAGGGGGTTGTGGAAGATTTGGAGAAGGAGTGTTTCTTCTGGCTCTAAGTGAGGAAACCAAGATTCATCTTGGGTTAAAAAACGTTCAAAGAAATCAGTTAGGAGTGCCTGAAGCAATATCAGATTTTCCTGTGATGTGATCAGCCTGTGTGACATTTTTTTATCAGGTGTCAGAGCAGACACCTTTGTCATGCCAAGTTCATTGTGCAGAATATTCGCAACTCTCTCTCTCTCTCCCACTCTCTCTCTGGATATGCTAATATGATTGCCTATTTGATTTATAGTCAATCACTTGTCATTCATCACTATGTCGTGAACATGTTCAATATTTTTCCCGATAGTGGTACTTGTTGGATGTTCAGACTTTGGGTCATTTTCAAGCTCTCCTTTCCAATCCTAAATTCAGCCTCCCACTTTTGCGGTGTTGATAAAGCTAGAGCATAATCCCCTACTGTACCAATCATGTCAGAATGAATGTTCTTGGTGGTTAAACTCTTTTTGTGAAGGTATTTGATGACATAGCGATGCCAAATATTGTCCATTTTCAAGAGAAGTCGCTACCGGTTACTTTTGGGGTCTTCTTTGAACAGTCAGTCTCCATGGAAAGAAACAATGCAGTTGAGATTAATGAATACAAGATTTCAAAGCTTTAGCATCAACCATTCGCAGACAGCCTATGAACTTTTTAGCACACCGTCGTATCTATCTATCTATCTATCTATCTATCTATCTATCTATCTATCTATCTCAACCTGTTTATTTCTATCTATCTATCTATCTATCTATCTATCTATCTATCTATCTATCTATGCCTGTTTCTTTCTTTCTTTCTTTCTTTCTTTATATCTATCTATCTAAGCTTCTTTATTTCTATCTATCTAACCTTGTTTATTTCTATTTATTTATCTAAGCTTGTTTATCTATCTATCTATCTATCTATCTATCTAAACATGTTTATTTCTTTCTATCTAACCTTGTTTATTTCTATTTATCTATCTATCTAAGCTTGTTTATTTCTATATCTATCTATCTATCTATCTATCTCAACCTGTTTATTTCTTTCTATCTATCTATCTATCTAAGCTTGTTTATTTTTTCTATCTATCTATCTATCTATCTATCTAAGCTTGTTTATTTTTTCTTTCTATCTATCTATCTAAGCTTGTTTATTTTTTCTATCTATCTATCTATCTATCTATCTATCTATCTATCTATCTATCTAAGCCTGTTTTTTTTTTTTATCTATCTATCTATCTATCTATCTATCTATCTATCTATCTATCTAAGCCTGTTTATTTTTTTTATCTATCTATCTATCTATCTCAACATGTTTATTTCTTTCTATCTATCTATCTAAGCTTGTTTATTTCTATCTATCTATCTATCTAGTTGCTACATTTTTTATGTCAATTATTTTTGTTATTTTGATAGCATTTCCAAATTCCGTTTAAGGCAACGTTTGAGAAGAAACCAATTATGCCGCGGAATTGTATCCTTCAGTTCATTTCTTTAATGTTCTTCATTTTTCTCTCTTGTTTTTCTTCTATCTTTTCATTGTTTCTTTAATTACATATTCACCCGTTTTACTTATATTTCGTGCATATAGGAATTTGCGAAAACATGCCAATGTTAATTTACATCTTTCAATTCGACGGTATTAATAAAAAGGTATGCTTTCCGGTAGGTTTTGAACTCGCGTCTCTTCTTATTAGGGAAACCACCATCTGGCTGACAGTTCTTTCGACCGGTCAACCAGAGAAAGCTTTAACATTCCAGGGTTCGAACCTGGCTGGAAGATACATTTCCTTTATTATGACTCTCGAATACACAAGCCGGTAGACGTAAATTTGGACTGCATAAAAACACCCACTCAAGCACGTTTAAAGTAATACGAAATAATGTTAGATTATAAATAAAAAAAACACGAACTCCTGTAAAATGGTATTATAACCTCTTTTTGTATCTTGTTTTTTTGTGATGTCAATGAACATTTATTGTCATTTTTGTAATGTCAATGAATACTCGTTGTCCATTTCGTAATGCTCGTTGTAGTAGAGACTTTGTAATCGCAGCTACAACTATAGTACGCCGTTAAATAATACTGGTGTCAAACGCCTTCGAATATCACTCGTGCTAATAGTACTTGATCGATAATACTTGCTCGAATAGTGTTATGGCCCGGTCCCTTGTACCACGGTGATAGTCCAAGGTAGAACCAATAAAGAAGAACTCGAAGGCGGAGATGGAATAACACATATATATTACAAACAGGAATATATACAGGGAGGTAGAAAAGTGTTAGTACAAACAATCAGGTTTAGTAGTAATTGTCTGAACGCGACTCTGTTTCGGTACTGCCTCTGACTCGACTGACTGACTCGCTCGCTCTGACTGACTGACAGACTCCTGACGGACTTCACTCCAGACTTCAGACTGAACTTCAGCCTTCAGACGGAACTCTGCTTCTTCTTGAGGCGCAGTATTTATTACGTATGGAATAGTCCATTATGTTATGATGGGTAAGGTCTCATAACAAATAGTAATCCGTATAGTGATCCAAATGGTATAGAGAAGAGAATAGCGGTCCGTATAGTAATAGAGGATAGAGTAGAAAAACCGTTAATTTAGACGACATGCGACTTTCTATATATGCGTTTCTTCTATGGTCACGTGGTCTACTTAATTCAATAATGGGATCACCTATATTTGCTCAATGGCGATCTATGTTCAAACTCAAGTATCCGCAGCGGCACTTTATTCCTATATAACAATTTTTGATGTAGTTAATGTTTCTATGCAGAAAGTGAAACATTAGGAATTTTGGCGTAACTCGAAATTTATTCCTGTCTAAATTTCTGGAATAGGAGAGTGTTAGGGGACCTTACCTATAATATCATAATGGACTATTCCATACGTAATAAGTACTGCACCTCAAGAGGAAGCAGACAGTTCAGTCCGAAGTCGGACGACCGGCTGATCGGTTGAACTCTTTGCCTTCGGGCGGGGAGGAACCCGAACGAGGCTACGCCGAAGGGCGGAGTCTCTTTCGGGGAGGTAAACCGACCCTGAACCCGTTTATACGGGTTCAAAGGGCATATTTTTGGCCGAGCCCACGGGCTCGGAGATCCCGCGTTAAACCGGCCTTGTGCCATATGATGCCCTCGTTGGGGGTGACTAAATACTGTTTAGTCTGAAGTCTGGAGTGAAGTCCGTCAGGAGTCTGTCAGTCAGTCAGAGCGAGTCAGTCAGTCGAGTCAGAGGCAGTACCGAAACAGAGTCGCGTTCAGACAATTACTACTAAACCTGATTGTTCGTACTAACACTTTCTACTTCTCTGTATATATTCCTGTTTGTAATATATCTGTGTTGTTCCATATCCGTGTTCGAGTTCTTCTTTATTGGTTCTACCTTAGACTATCACTGTGGTACAAGGAACCGGACCATAACAGAGAGTTACTATTATTTTCGGCATTTACATGTCGTGTAACAGATATCGCTTTGGAATTGGAGAGCAGAGTTCGAATTCCAGTCGAGTTCGTTGCATTCCCTTGGGAAATGTATTAATCCACTACTTTCTCCCAGATATGGGTTGAATAGCTATAGATATGTGTTCTATAGCCTTGGTTGGCAACCAGTCTACCACAGAAAAAATGGCAACCTACTGCGGGAAACACTTCTGCCTAGTCAGTCACGAATCGAAAGAGACATGTTCGCCCAAGCGTATCTCACGTATGGCACTTAACTGGCTGACATGCGGACTATCATCCTCTTCTTTGTTGTTATCACAACGTTTCGGCCGTTGTACCTTCCGGGCTTCATCAGGTTTATGAAGATTTTGGTAATCTACAGAGATTTCTGAATTGAACTCTTTTAACTAATCTACAGGGGTAGATTGTTCCCGTTCTTATTATTTAGGGATATGACGTCTAGTTTTCTTTTTGTTTTTGTTTTTTTTGTTACTTTTAGTAATGTTCAGTTATTACCGGCCTCGTTTGAAAACTTTGTCAACAAATTGGAGTTAAAAGAAAATTAAAAATGCTTCACATTCCTTATGAAAATATAATGCCAATGATAGAAAAAAAAAATAAACGAAAGTGTTTATTATGCAATTAAAGAAAGAAAAAATAAAGCACCATAAAAAAACAACAACAGAGGAACTCTAGAACCTTGAAAAGAAGCTTCAGGATAAATATTCAAGACTTGATCACTTTTTTTTTTTTATTCTTAAACGTTGTTTGGAAAGTTTACAAAAAAATAAAATATATACAAACCTAAAAAATAAAATATAAAATGCGTACAAACCAAAAATGTACGTGCAAACCAGAAAAAAGAAAGAAATTCGTATATATATATAAAAAAAAACGTAACCGCCCTCAAAAAATACATACAACCCCCACCACCACCAAAGAAAAAAAAACAAAAAAAAAACTAGAAATCAAAAAAGGAATAAAATCCGCACAACCCCCACAAAAAATGAATGTACAAAGCAAAAAATAAAATCCGTACAAAATAAAAGAAAACAAAAACGTACAAACCAAAAAAATATACAAACCAAATAAATTAAAAATATGTACACCCCACTTTTACGTGCAAAACAAAAATGACAAAAGCGTACAAACCAAAAAGAAAAAAAACAATCCCCACAAAAAGTACGTACACACACACACAAACACACAAAAAATAGAAACGTACAAACCAAAACGCCCCCAAGAAAAATACGTACAAAACAAAAACAAAAAAAAAAGAAATCAAAAACATACAGGCCAAAAAAAAAAAAAAAATTTGAAAAATGAGATAAAAAAATAAAAGTCTGTTTTTATCTTCTGATGCTGGTACTAAATTCCAACAGCTGCATTTCTTTCTTTCTTTCTTTCTTTCTTTATTTATTTATTTATTTTACAGTTTCTCAAACTTATTAAGTTATTTAAACACAGAAAATATTTTTAGATTGTAAGTGATAATTTTGGATAGTACTGAGTTACTGATACAATTCCTACTAATTAACCCATAGCTGTAGAGAGAAGAGGTGGGTTCGTACCTATACCGATGGTATTTTTGCGTAAGTGAATATAACGAACTCAGCTCTTCGGTTTCCGTTATCCAATAAACAATCCACACATCCAAACTTACAAAAGAGTATTTCCAAGCTGTCACAAGCTGTCAAGCTGTCAGCTGTTGTAGAAAAATCACGTGGTAGAGATAAACACTCAGTTGTGGAGCAAGCTAAGTGAATAATAATCCAACCTTTAGAAAGAGAGCTATTTATGTTGCCATGGAGCATCTCATTGTGCTAAAGTGGGATAATCCATTGCTTGGGCTGTGATTGATTTCTTTATAAATACCAGCTTGATTCATCAGTTAGTTTGCAGGGTTTGTATTAAGTTACAACCTGTTACAACCTGCTTTATTTTTGTCTGCCAGCTGGACGCTAGCTGGGACATTTACGCCGGTAAGTGCTGTTTATTATTGTTATTCTACATCTCCCCCCCCCATCGCGTGTGGGTAGTGGCCTTTGGGGAGGGATGAGTTCCTTTAAACCTGGCTGGTTGTGCGGAAGTAGTCTGGACAATGTCTGGACGACTGAGCAGTGTTCGATGTTATTCCCTGCGTCGAATGTTTGTGGCACTGGTGTAGGGGTCTCAGGTAAGGCACTAGGTCTGGGAACTGGAATTGTAGGTGTATCCAGTTTCCTGAGGAATCGGCGATTTCGTAAGGTAATTCTACCTGATCCATCAACTCTGATACGGTATTGGTGGTTGGGGAGGGTTTCAATGACCTGACCTGTTGTGTCCCATCGACGGGTTGTTGGTCGTTGTAGTGTCACTGTTTGTCCTTTTTGAAGGGGGTTTAAGGTATGTGCTGTTCTGTTGTATCGCTCTATGAGACGAGCATTCCGCCGAGACAGACTTATCTCGCGATTTTGGGCTGCGGTTATCCAATTCGCATGTGGCTTATAGAGTCTGGGGTGAGATGGTATGTAGTCACGTAGTCGGCGGTGGAGTAGTAGTTGAGCAGGGGATAGCCCAATGTTTTGAATGGGCGTATTCCTGTATTGGAGGATGGCTCTTGCTGCACGATTATTGTCCAACGATCCTTGGGCTCCTGTCTTGCAATTTACGATTCTCTTTGCCGTTTTGACAGCAAGCTCTGCTCGACCATTGGATTGTGGGTAACCAGCAGATGATAACCTGTGTTTAACAGCCCAGTCTTGTAAAAATTGCTTGAATGTAAGGGATGTGAAGGGTGGCCCACCATCAGTGCTGAGTTCCTCGGGAGCACCGTAGGCTTGAAATATGTCTATCCCAGCGATTCCGTTTTTTGCGCAATGGAAGAGGAAAGAAGGCTCCTTCGATGTCA